CCATATTTTCCAGATTTGTTTTTACGTCCTTCATTTCTTCTCTAATTTCTTCTATTTCATCCTTGTTTGCTTTCACTTCCTTTTGGAATTTTTCACTTGGCCTGGTGATTATGTCATCTTTTTGCATGTCTATTTTTTCGTGCATCTCTTCTATTGTTGCATTTAATTTTTCATCTCTCGTATCCATTTTTTGATTCATTTCTTCCATTCTCTCGCCTATTCTTTCCATTCTTGTGTCCATTTCTTTGTTCCTTGCGTCCATTTTCTCGTTTCTTGCGTCCATCTTTTCATCTATTTTTTCGATTCTTGCGCTCATTTCTTCTTTCATTTCTTTATCTCTTGGGTCCATTTTTTCGTCCATTTTTTTCATTTTTCCATTCATTTTTTCCATTCCTGAACCCATTTCTTTTTTCATTTCTGCGAGCATAGCCATCTGATAGTGAATTTGCTCCAGTAAATTATCAAGTTTTTCGTTCAGACAGGGATTTTATTAGATCTGGACGCCAAACTGGCGGTGATGTCATTCTAGTAATTAATGGAAAACATAAGGTTAAAAATTTAGATTTATCAATGTTCAAAATGTTTCCGTTAATTGATATTACTGGATGTAAATTAATTTATCCTCAGAATAATATATATGTTTTTGTTGTATAGGTATATACCTCCTGATATTTCAATTACTGATTTTGACTCCTTTATTGATTGTTTTGGAAATTTTGCACTAGAATTTCAGAATATACTTTTATTCGGTGACTTTAATGTAGCGGCCTTTTTAAATAATACTAATTCTAAATCTAACTTGCTTCATCGATTGATGTGACTTTTAAACTTATCGCAATATAACTCGGTTTATAATTCTGATGGAAACCTACTTGATTTAGTTTTTAGTAGCTTTAAAAAGTGTGTGGTTACTCATGATCCGTGTCCTTTAGTAAAGGAGGACGTATACCATCCTGCACTGAATATTAACGTTTTGGTTAAACAGATGTCATATCCTAGTTTTCCTGTATGTAGAACTGAAAAACTGTACAATTTTAGAAAATCCAACTTCCCATCGTTATATCAGGATATCTTAGACATTGATTGGAAATTTTTGTATGAGCTAACTGATGTTGAGGAAGCTTGTGAGCATTTTTATAAACGCTTGTATGTAACATTTGATAAAAACGTGCCTCTTTTTAAATGTAGTAAATATGTATAAGTATCCCAGTTGGTACTCTAAAGAACTTAGAGATATGTTAAAAAATAAATTTAAACTTTTTAAGCGGTGGAAGTTTGAAGGTTCAAATCAGGCTTACAATGAATTTTCCTTAATACGATGCTCAGTGAAGAAATTAATTCGTAGAGACTTTAATGCTCATATTAATAAAACTCAGGATTCACTTCTAAAGGATTCTAAATATTTTTGGAAGTTTACAAAAGAAAAGCAAGGTCGTTCATCAGTTCCAAATGAAGTACACTTAGATGATAAAACATGTAGTGATCCTAGTGAAATAGTTAACGCCTTCGCTCACTACTTTCATTCCACTTTTAATTCATCTACAAAGAATTTAACACCAAAAATAACCAATTCAAATAGTTCTAGTAAATGCATTAACGTTAAAATTGCAGAGGATGACATTAAAAAAGCTATTAGTAAATTGAAAAACAATTGTGTTGCGGGCATGGACCAAATACCTAGTTTCTTAATTAAAGATTGTTCTGTTGCACTGCTAGCTCCACTACGTCACTTATTTACCTTAAGTGTTGATAACCATCATTACCCCAGATTGTGGAAGATCGCTAGAGTAACGCCGGTGTTCAAAACAGGAGATTTTTCTGATGTGAAAAATTATCGCCCAATTTCCATTTTGTCTAATTTTTCAAAGGTCCTGGAACGTATCTTATACAATCAGATTTACTTTGAAATTAAAAGTACTATTTCTGCAAGTCAACACGGTTTCGTAGCTGGTAGATCCACTTTAACAAATTTGACATGCATGTCTCAAATAACAACTACAACATTAGAAAATAAAGAACAGCTTGATGCAATTTACATTGATCTTTCAAAGGCGTTTGATAAAATAGATCACCTGATACTACTAGAGAAATTGTCAGATTTTGGGTTTTCTTATTTATTAGTGCAATTAATGTCGTCCTATTTGTTATCCCGTGAAAACGTTGTTTTGTATAATGGATATAAATCGAAATATTATGTTGCGACTTCTGGAGTTCCACAAGGGTCCATACTTGGACCCTTGCTGTTCTTAATTTATATTAATGATGCTATAGAAGTCATAACAAACTCGCAAGTACTTATGTTTGCGGATGATATAAAAATTTTTAGGGAAATTGCTAATGTTAACGACTCTGTACTACTTCAAAATGATGTGAGTAAATTTAGAAGCTGGTGTACATCTAATTGCTTATCAATTAATACGGATAAGTGTAAAATCATGACATTTTCATTGTGTAAAAATATATTTCTATATGACTATAATTTTCAAGGCATGGTTATTCAAAGGGTCACATCAATTAAAGATCTTGGAATTTGTTATGATTCTGAAATGAACTTTAAGCAACATGTATGTAACATTGTAAATAAAGCGAGTAAAATGTGGGGATTCGTAGTTAGAAATTTTAAAGTATTTAGTAATATCCAGGTCTTCGTCAACTTATATAACGCCCTCATCAGACCCATCCTCGAATATAACTCCTTGGCTTGGTTCCCATACTATTCTTATCAAATTCAAATGCTTGAAGGTGTCCAACGAAAGTTTTTAAAATACTTACATTTTAAGACTGAAAAGGTGTGGCCTGAGAGAAATTATCCGCATCAAGTTTTATTGCAAAACTTTAATTTCAAATCCCTACACAGTCGAAGAATTGCTGCCGCCCTAATTTTTTTGTATAAGACAGTTAACAGTAAAATTACTTGTGAGCGAATCCTTAAAGAACTTAATTTTCTGGTTCCTAGGTTAAATAGTAGGTTTTCAACAACACTTTATTGTAAAGCTCCTCGTACCAACATAGGAAGAAAAGCCCCTTTGTATGTAATAAGCTTTTATCTTAGTAAATTTGAAAGAGAAACCGATTGTGACATATTTTATTGCAAACTGCATGAGTTTAAAAGATGTATTCTAGAAATTTTCCATTAGTAAAATTTAGTTTTAGTTTCATATTAATATTATTTATTTCAATTGCAGGATTTGAATATTTGTATTAGAATAAGCTATTATTAATATTATTATATTTTGAAATACTCTTTTGTTGAATAATTTTAGAATATTTTAGAATAAGTTATTGTCATAGAGTAGAATTCTTTATTGTTGAATGATTTTGTCCTATTATTGGAAAATATTTTCTGTTGGGCAAATAAACCATATTATTATTATTATTATTTACTTGTTTCTCGATTTTCTCGACTTGAGCTCTAGTCTCAACAGGCATCAATCTTCAGAATTTTTTTCCAATCTGCCCGTAATTCGTCGTACAACCACTTATTAATTTCAGACCTCACTTTCGACACCAGTCTTACGTTGATCGGTGAATAAAATCGTTGTGTATTTGACTGCAAATGGTTGTTATTGCAGTGTCGTGAACGCCCTAACTTTTTACAGTGCATTTTGTTTACGGATGAAGCAGGATTCACTCGCAATGCTGTTTTCTACAGTCACAACACTCACATTTGGTTTGATGAAAACAACAGTTTCATCATTTCTTATAAAAAGGTAGTAGCATTCTAAGTTGCTCTTTTTTTTTGTTCTAATAAACAATGTAGAATCGTTGTGATAAGGACCAAACATCCGTCAGAATAAAAAGTCGATCATCATGAAGCATTACCAAAAATCGGTCCTTCTCAGAACCACCAGAAACTTCTCAGAACCACCAGAAATTTTATTTTTTTTATGAGAACTCAATACATATTTGTATGTAAGTTGAAATAAAGATATGTATATAACTTTAAAGTAAATGTAAAGAAGCGTGCTACGCGTATATTTTAAATGAGTTTATACTTTACGCAATTTTGTGATGACGTATCAACATTTTTGCAAGGACTACTTGGATTGGTGCAGTGTAATACTAAAAATAACAGTATTGTATTCCCAAATTTTCGGGAAAATGGCGTGAAGCATTCCCGATTTCAGCAAAACAAATTGACATTCATAAATTTGTATGACTTATGAGTCACCCTGTATAAGAAATTTAAAAACTTTGAATGCAATTATAACCCACAAGTAGGTAGTAGGTATAAGCACATTTTGGATAAGATTTATTCGGCAAAGTTTTGAGATGACGTCATCATTTTTGAGGGGGATAAACAGATATGTTTTGATTAAAAAGTACCAGGATTACGAAAAGTTTAAAACGTCTGCAAGGTTTGAAGGCATTTGGTTGTGCAGTTTCTGGTTTAATAAATAAAATAAATTGACCCTTTCATTAATTTTTTGAGTCAGCCTGTATACGTAATTCTAAAAACTATGAGTAGGTTAATAAACCACAAGCATGCAGTCATAATATTTTGCATATTACCATGATTACGATAACCTTAACATATTTACAGGATTTCAGAGCATTCGGTTTTGCAGTTTCAAAGTCAAATTGCAAAATATTTTTATGCAATATTGAGTTTTTTTCCAAAAATCTGGATAAAAAAACTTACAATTATAAATTTTGAAATTTAGCGTCATCCGATTGGTGGTGGGGATAATTTGAATAGCCAAATTTTAGTTAGCGTTTAACCATTTACATGATAATCTCTAATATGTATATATACAAAATTTGCCAACAACTGGTTACGTAGTTTGGGAAATTACGTGTTTAATAAAAATGGATATACACACTAGACAGACGGAAACGGGAGACCTTTTTTTTCTTACTTTAGGGATCATGACACGTCGCGAAAATATGAAAGTGGCAATTCGGCCGATGGACTCGATTACTATCCTACTTTCTTAGCTTACGCTCGGAAAGTAAGTACCTAATAATTAGTTCCCGTATTTGTAACAAAAAATACTAACCTGAATTGTGATGTAGAGTTGTTAGGTAATGATGTTGCAGATTGGAGCTAGAAGTTTGACGAGACGCAAAAGCACAGCTCGGTAGATCTGACACTTCTTCTTCTGAAAGTTCTCCAGCACTGTAGCCCCCAAATTGCATACTAAAAATAGCAATAGTATTGAAAAAGATTTTAATTTATGAATATGATATGAAAAGTATATAATGCACACACAAATGGTTAAAAAATGTTCACTAATTGGTTTGTCAAAATATCGTCTATAAATACTTATTATGACATGTGATTAGGTACTGATATTGTCAACCTAACGTATATCTACCTAATTATGATCTTAAAATTTAAAATTGATTGATAAACTCCTGATTTGACAGCTAATAAGATCTAAATTATTTCTTCATTTTTACTGACAAAATATCTCTTCATATAAGTTTTTTAAATCTAAAAATGTTTTATCCAAATAAGTGGATCATAAATACCTAGATCCGTACCTATAATTTAGCCAAAATAATACTTATTGAAAATACTAAAAAATAAATAAAACATTCTGAGTTCACTAGTTTTATGAGTAATTTTGTCCAGGTGTTGATTTTGTTGTTGCTTCTTTAGCGTGTTTAACACCAAAATGCATATTAAAATTAGAAAACAAGATTATTTAAATAAAACAATCTTTTTTTATAACTTGTCAGTAAATCATCTGCTGTTAATTATTAAAAATGCAAAAGTCAAAGTAATATAATTTAAAAAAAAAAGTAAAAATATTACACTTTTAAAAAGTTTAATGGTTAATAGGGATACAAACAAATACAGTTTTTTTAAAAAATACCACAAGAAATCTTTGAAGAAAAATAAGAAATCTTTAACTTACTTGATAGGAGGTGAAGAAGACGAGTCTGGTAACTGACCGCGGCTACTCATGTCCCGTTTCACTGTTTTAACCGCTTTTCACAAATAAAATTAGGATTTCAATATATCCTTAATAACAGAATTACATTGACTGTGAACGTATCCCTGGGGATTCTCAATTTATAATATCACCACTCTACGCAAAATGTGTAAGACATGCTGATGTAGTCACAATCGTTATTGACATTAAAGGCGAGAATACCACGACATACTTTAAATTAACATGGTATGATGAAGGGATTGTATTTCTTATGGTTAATATTCCCTAGACAACATTTTCGCTTACCGTTATCCAGTGAATATAGTATTGATTTGTGGGTGTAAACCCTTCAAGCAACCAATCCCATCGAGAACGTAAATTACGTTCCTTGCCATTGGCCAAAATCGCGCACTCTTTATGTAAGGGAGGACAAAACTCTTTGATGATTGCATTTCTGTTTTTGACATTCTCTTTTGTAGAATGAGAAGTCTTTCTAAAATAAGTAATTACAATGAGTAATTAACTGTTAAATTACAGACAAACATTTTTTTACTTTTTTTGTAAGTAAAGAACTTCCATCATTATACATTACATCTTTATTTATCATTTAAAAAAATTCGTTGGATATTTGAAAATATGAATTATTAAGTTTGTTTTTACAAAACTTACACCAGTCGGGGCATTTTCTCAAATTACTGAATGCCCCTTTTTTATATCTTTTTATAATATGTTTTAATAGACGTAAAAGTGGATATATAATTTTTACAAAAAAGATTTACCTACCGTTCATTATAGTCATAAGGGATTTTTTTTCTCCACGACCATTAGTGAACGTAATAATTCCGAAATAATTTTTAATAATACAAAAAGTAAAAATTCTCCCTCTTGAGGTAGAATATTTATTTTGAAACACTTGTTCTTATGTGTTTTGCATGTGTTTTCATTCTATAACAAAGTGACAGAATAAATCTAATATATAAAAATAAGTCGGGTTTTCCTTCCTGACGCTATAACTCCAGAACGCACGAACCGATTTCCACGGTTTTGCATTCGTTGGAAAGGTCTCGGGCTCCGTGAGGTTTATAGCAAAGAAAATTCTGGAAAAATTTCAAGAGAAAAGCAGGAAAACAGGGAAAATAATTTTTTTTTGCACGGGAATCGCCACTTAGAAAAAATTTGAATAGTTGGCCATGCCTGACGGACCTGTCGCCTGACTGACGTGTCACACAAAACTATTTCTTCCGTGCGATTGTGAAAAGTATGATTGCATTTCAAGGCGTTGTTTGTTTTTTCGTAACAAAAAACGTCGTTTATTTCAAGAAAAGTGTTCGTTAAAGTGAATTCAGTTACGCATTGCGAAAGTTTCTTATTAATTTTGATCTGCCATTCTATTTACCTATGTTCACTTTGTTGGTTTCGACAAAACCTCAAACTTTACCGTTATTCGAGGATTTGATTTGAAGTTTTCAGTATTTTAAAATTCTCAAGACAAAATTTACAGATTTGATTGACTGCGAAAATAATTCTGTGTCGTTTTATGAAGTTCATTACAACGCCGAGAAGACGACAAGCTGACATAGGTCCACGAAGTCAATGAAATGTGCGACGAACTACCTCAGGTACAAATCGCAATGATTTATTTCATGGGTAATTCGGGTACGGAAATTGATCAGCGTCGTGCTCATAATCAACATAATAGTCAAACATTGAAGCGAGACATTGGGTGGTATGAATAAAACTGGGTAGATACTCATATTCGAAGTACGAAGTACCTACCTACTTTATTATTACTCTTATGTACCTGAGCATCTACTCTATGTACTGAGTACCTACTTGGAAACATTGTATCTCCCCAGACACATATTGAACATCTACGCGTTTTGTGAGCATTTAATCTAAAAATGAGCATCGGCGTGGCAAATAACTGAGCTGTCCGTAAAGCAGCTTAGAAAACGAGCAGGATCGTTGTAAGAGTGAGTTTTGACTAAATACGGGGATTTTCATGAACGTGGAACGTTGCCAAAAGGTGCATTCAGTTTGAAAAACACATTAGCAGCGGGAATATCGAAAACTTTTCAGGTAATTAACTTTTATTTATGCATAAATTGTGCAGTACGTTTTTTCTAACACTGGCCATAGAGATTCCCATCTCAAGGTGTCTACCCCGTACTGACTTATATTTTGGGGACCCGATTTTTGCCTTGATGGTTGAACACTGTCACTGTTTTCCTTTTTTGTTGTATCGAGATGCTACTTGAGCATCAAGTTTTACTTACTGAAGTATTAGCATCATCTAGAAAAACTAGAAATATTTTGATTTGATATTCGAGCATCTACTGAGTTTTATTTATATCAACCATTGTGACCATTGTCAAACAACTGATCGAACGTTTTTTCGATAGAACTTCCTTCGCACCAAAAGTATAATGAAACATATTCAGCATTTTCGAGTTGCGTCTTTTCTTCACACAATTTTGTGATGACCAAATCAACATTTACAATCAACACGTATATCACCTTGGATTGGTGCAGTGTAACTAATACTAAAAATAACTGTATTGTATCTCCAAAATTATCTGCGAAAATCAAGTGAGCCGTCCCATCAATTTTTAATGATTAACAATTTACCATGCTTACAATAACTTTAAAACGTCTGCAAGATCTCAAAGTATTCATTTCTGCAACTCTTGAGTTATTCAATAAAATAAATTGACTGATCCATATATTTTTTTAAGTCACTGTAAAAGCAAATCTAAAAAATTGGTCTAAAGAGTTTAGACAGTACTTTCCTCGCTGTCGGAAACGTGACGACTGCATGCCTATTATGTTTTTTTTTTCGCAGTGGATTTCAAAGCATTCGGTTTTGTAGTTCCTGAGTAAACCAATAAAATAAATTTACGCATTCATTATTTTTTTGAGTCACTCGGTATATGCAAATTCAAAAAATGTGAATGGAATGATAAATTACAAGTACAGACTCATCATATTTTGTATATTCTAGATAGGATTTATTCGGCAAACTTTTGAGCTGACGTCATCAGTTTTTTGGAGAAGATAACCACATATATTTTGACTAAAAATTTATTATGCTCTTTATAACCTTAAAACATTTGCAAGATTTCAAAACATTCGGTTCTGTAGTTCCTGATTAAATCAATAAAATATATTTACGCATTCATTAATTTTTTTGGGTCACCCTGTATATGCAAATCCAAAAAATATGAATGGAGTGATAAATCACAAGGAGAGACTCATCATATTTTGTACATTTTAGATAGGATTTATTCAGCGAAATTTTGTGGTGATGTCATAAATTTTTTAGGGGAGATGAGCAAATACATTTTGATCAAAAACTTACCAGGCTTATGACAACTTTAAAGAATCATCAAGATTTCAAAGCATTCGGTTTTGTGGTTCCTGAGTAAATCAATAAAATAAATTTACGCATTCATTAATTTTTTTGAGTCACCCTGTATATACAAATCACAAAAATATAAATGGAGTGATAAATAACAAGTACAGACTCATCATATTTTGTACAGTTTAGATAGGATTTATTCGGCAAACTTTCGAGCTGACGTCATCAATTTTTTTGAGGGGATAACCAAATATATTTTGACTAAACATTTATTATGCTCTTTACAACCTTAAAACATCTGCAAGATTTCAAAGCATTCGGTTTTGTTGTTCCTGATTAACTCAATAAAATAAATTTACGCATTCATTAATTTTTTTGAGTCACCCTGTATATGGAAAACGAAAAAATTTGAATGGAATGATAAATCACAAGAAGAAACTCACCATATTTTGTACATTTTAGGTAGAATTTGTTCAACAAAATTTTGTGGTGACGTCATAAATTTTTTTAGGGGGGACGACCAAATACATTTTGATAAAACATTTACCATGCTTATGATAATTTTAAAACATCTTTAAGATTTCAAAGCATTCGGTTTTTTAATTCCTGAGTAAATCGGTAAAATACATTTACTCATTAATTTTTTTTTTTAATTACCCTGTATATGCAAATCCAAAAAATATTAATGGAGTGATATATCACAAGTACATACTCATCATATTTTGCACATTCTAGATAGGATTTATTCGGAAAACTTTTGAACTGACGTCATCAAGTTTTTGGAGGGGATAACCAAATATATTTTGACTAAAGATTTATGATGCTCTTTATAGCCTTAAAACATCTGCAACATTTCAAAACATTCCGGTTAGCAGATTCAAAATTAAATTTCAAAGTGTTGTTTTATAATTTTGATTTTTTTCCAAAAATCTGGACGTTTCGGGTAGAAACTCAATTCGGAGTCGTAAAACACTATGTTATTTTATACAATTTAAAACCGATTTACTATGTACAATTTTGAAGTGACGTCATCGCATTAGTGGTGGGGATGATTAGACAAATTTTGGTTAGCGTTTTACCATCTACATGATATTCCTAATATAAGTACAAAATTTCACAACAATCGGTCGAGTACTTTCGGAGATTATCTGTCTAATAAAAATCCGGGATGGCAGACAGACGGACAGACAGACGGAAATAGGAGACCTATTTCTTCGTCTTCTAGGGATCATGAAAGATCAAGAAAAGGTAAAAGTAGAGAGTCGGCCGACGGACTCGATTACAATACTTCCTTTGCTTACGCTCGGGAAATAAAAATATGAATGCAATGATAAATTACGAATATATACTGAAGATTTTTTGCACATTTTAGATAGGATTTATTCGGCAAAATTTTGAGATGATGTCATCAAGTTTTTGGGTTTGATAAACAGATATATTTTGATTAAAAAGCTACCATGCTTACAGTAACTTCAAAACGTCTGCAATATTTCAAAATTTTCAGTTTTGCAATTCTTGATTCAGTCAATGAAATAAATTGACCCAGTGATTAATTGTTTTGGGACACCCCGGTTAAGCAAAACTAAAAAAATATTAATGCAATGATAAATCACAAGTAAAAACTCATCATATTTTGCACATTTCAGATAGGATTTATTCAGCAAAATTTTCAGGTGACGTCATCAATTTTTTAGGGGGAATGAACAAATACATTTTAATCAAAAAATTACCATGCTTATGATAACATTAAAGCATCTCCAAGATTTCAGAACATTCGGTTTTGCAGTTCTTGATTAAATCAATAAAATTAATTCACCCATTCATTAATTTTTTTGAGTCACCCTATATAAGCAAATCTAAAAAATATGAATGGAATAATAAATCACAAGTATAGACTCATCCTATTTTGGATATTTTAGATAGGATTCATTTGACAAATTTTGGGCTGACGTCATCAATTTTTTGGAGAGGATAAATAAATATAATTTGAATAAAAATTTATTATGCTTATCATATGTTTAAAACATCTGCAAGTTTTCAAAGCATTCGGTTTTGCAGATTCAAAATTAAATTGTAGGTGAAACGAAGTTCACGGGGTCAGCTAGTATTCTATAATTATGTTCAACCATGGTTCAACCAAATACATAGATAGATTGCCATGGATTTCAAAACTGTCTGTGTCAGATGTAAATGCGGCGCCCTAGTTGTTTTAAGACAAGTTTGAATTTAATTTAAAAAAAAATGAGTGTAAAATCGGGTGAATCAGATGTGGACTTTGATAATACTTCACCTACAATTACAAATTCTGCAAATAATATAATCCAGAACCTTCTGTCACAAAAATTGAGAAATGAATATGAAAAGTATTATTTTATTTAGGGATTGGCAACAAGAAACGAAAACTGGTCGAAAGTTATTTCGGCAGAACTTCCCTCGCTTGTAAAGTACCATGAAAAATATTCAGCATTTTCGAGTTGAGTTTTTTCTTTACACAATTTTGTTTATGATGATTTCATCAATATTTTTGCAAGGACACGTATATCAACTTGCATTTGTGCAGTGTAATACTAAAAATAACAGTATTGTATCCTAAAATTTTCTGGGAAAATGGGGTGACCGTTCCTGATTTAATCAATAAAAAAAACTGACTCATTCATTTTTTTTGAGTCATCCTGTATAAGAAAATCTAAAAAATATGAATGGAGTGATAAATTGCGTGTATATTTTGCAATTTTGGGTAGGATTTATTCGCCAAAATTTTGAGGTGACTTCATCAATTTTTTAGGGAGCATGAGCAAATACATTTTGATCAAAAATTTACCATGCTTATGATAACTTTAAAACATCTCCAAGATTTCAAAGCATTCGGTTTTGTAGTTCCTGATTAAATCAATAAAATAAATTCACGTATTCATTTTTTTGAGTCACCCCCTGTATATGCAAATCCAAAAGATATGAAAGGAATGATAAATTACAAGTCTCATCATATTTTGTACAATTTAAATAGGATTTATTCGGCAAAATTTTGAGCTAACGTCATCAATTTTTTGGAGCGGATAAGTAAATAGGTATATTTTGATTAAATATTTATCATGCTTACCATAACTGTAAAACATCTGCAAGATTTCAAAGCATTCGGTTGTGCAGATTCAAAATTAAATTGCAAAATGTTATTTTATATATTTGATTTTTTTTTCTAAAAATCTGGACGTTTTAAAAGCTCAATACGGAATCATAAATTGCATGTGTAGGACTATATTATTTCATACAATTTAAATCCATTTATCATGTATAATTTTGAAGTGACCGTCATCACATTATTGGTGGGGATGATCAGACAAATTTTGGTTAGCGTTTTACCATCTACATGATATTCCTAATATAAAATACAAAATTTGATAACTATCGGCCCAGTACTTTTGCAGATTCTCTGGAAATATTAATATTAGTTCAGTGTAATATAATTATTGTTCCAATAAATAACTGGTTTTGTTTGAATTTAATTGTCTTTGATTTATACTTTCTGGTTGTGGAGAAAATACATTTATTCTAACCTTGTTACAGAATATACTATTATGAAAAATCAGTTAATTACAAACACATTAGGTATTTAAGCGGTATTCTTCTTAAAATTTTAACGAAAAGCGAAACTATATGTAAACATAAATTAGAATTCATTTGTAGCCAAAAATACAAAATACTGATAATACTAACATAATTAATTTATAACGTGCCAACATTATTTAATTTTTCTGACTATATTTTATATGATTGTAGTTAAAACGTTAAGTTTGATGTATTTGTGTACTTAAATTATGACAAGGGGACACAACTTAATTTTGTTTTTCCAATAAATTAAGTAATTTTAATTTAAAGTGAAAACTCTTAAGATTTTGTGATGATTACCAAAACCATAATGCAGAGCTCATTTTGGTGCTGCCTCCAAGACAATATTGGAGTTTTTTAGTAAAGTCGGTAGAGTAGGCTGTAAAATCTTGATCAGTTGACCACATGTTTTTTCTTTTTTTAAATAAGGTAAAGTGTCGGGTATTATTACATCTCTAATAATAGATGACAATATAACTAATAATAAATAAAATAGAAATCATAGGATTCCAAGTGACTCAAATTTATGTTGGGAAGTTACGGCTTTATGATGATTTTAATTATTATTGATGGAGGACACCACTTTCTAAACTCCAAGACTTACTTCCTGAAAACCATTTTTTTGGGGAGCGACTCGCCCTTATCACGGGCCAAGCGTGAAGGATTCAGTTTTTTCTTTATGTGACGTTTATCCTGTCTAATAAGAAAATTTTATCGGCACTTAAATGGCGTTGGAATTTTAATTGAAGAATCGTATTTTCGTGACGCCGTAAGGTTTTGGCTTTTTTTTTTTAATTAACAGGCATTTAATAGGCAAGAAATTAAAAACTAAATCATAACTAGTAGTATTTACTAAAATTCGCAAAACGCGATTTTCCAGCCGGAAAGGGGCATTGTAAACCACTAAGAAAAATGACGGAGGCCCAGAAATAATTATTATGTAACAAGTGAGTAAAGTATGTATATCTTTTTTTCATGGGAGGACATTTTCCGGCATGAGTTGTAGGTGAGTGAGCAAATCCACAAGTGAAAAAAATTACCTTATTACTCACGAGTTGATTATAATTATTTTTCATGTCCTAATAAACTAATGAAACTGCAAAATTCATTTCAAGAAAAACAGCTTTTTATTTGAAACAGAAATTTGATATATACAATAATACAATTAGTAGGGTTAAGAATTTGAACCTTGGAACCAGTTGAATGATTACTGATTAGTATTAGAATTTAAACTTACAAAATTCAAATCAACTGCAATTGTACTAGAGCTGGTGATCAATTTATTTAAATAATTAATTAATTAAAATAATTTCCTTAGGTCTGCACTCTCCATATCCGTGAAAAAATTATGGTAGTTTTTTCAAGCATTTAATCTGAGGAACTGAACATATGTTGTACATACCTACCTACTTTGTAAAGATAAAGAGTTAAATGCGTTCACTTTTTTTACTGGACGTCAAAAAGGAATAATTATTTTTTTACTTCAATTAAGCTTAATATATTTATTATACATATATCGGTGTATAAAATAAAATTTCTTATATGCTTGAAAGTCATTATCATTACATTATAATATAACTGACACATTCTTTTGTAAAGTACTAAAATTCGTGTTGATATTATTATTTTTTAAATTTAAATGTTTTAATGATGAAAGATGGCAAAAAATTGTATCAGTTAAATTAGAGAGATTGTTATAAGACATGTCAATGCTCTGAATGTTTATGACATACTTTAGTGTATTATCTTCAATTTGTGCTAGATTGTTATGATCAATAGACAGAAATGATAATTTCTTTAGTTTTAAATCACCTGTAATTACTGATATTTGATTGAAGCTTAAATATAAAGAATTCAGTTCATGCAAAATATTGAAATCTTCCGCTCTTATAATTTGAATTGCGTTAAACCTTAAGTCTAGAATTTCTAAATGCACTAATCCTAAGAAACAATTTTTTTGCAGTTGTTGAATATTATTGTGTTCTAAATGCAATATCTTTAAATACATCAATTCAATAAATACGTTTGACGATAACACTTTTATATTATTTTTTGCCAAATCTAGTGTTAGTAAAGCTTGTAAACCTGTAAACGTATTTGCATTGAATCGAGTGATATTATTCTGGGATAAGTTCAACAATTCCAGCTTATTTAATCCACAAAATGAACGATTTTTCAAAGTATGTAAAAAATTTCCTGTAATTTTCATGTACTGCAGGTTTGATAGACCATAAAATGCACATTCATTTATATTTAAAGCGTTGTTGTCTATTATGTTATAATTTACAAGGTGTGCATAGTTAGTGGCATTGTGATAATAAGTGGGAAAAATTATTTCATCACTGTTTTTTATAACGAGCATTCGTGTATGAGGTGTAATAAATGTGTCAATATTATGTGTAATATTTTGCAGACCAGAACACACGAAAACTGCTTTTCCCATGGTGTAAGAACATTTATTATTAATTTCCAAATCTTGTGCCAAAGACATTGCAGTTAACGTAAAAATCCAAGGGATAATATTCTATAACAAATTATTTAATGACTATGAAAAAAGGGATCTAATTTACTCACCATTTTAGTTTTTATTTTGGAAGAAATAAGAATTAGGTGTTTAACACTCAGTGCTTCGTTGATGAAGTGATCCTTGGGGTTATCAGTAGCTGTAGTTACATAAACGTACCAACCAAAATGCTGTGATCGTTAAACTTCCAGCTCTGTTGAGGTGAATATTATGGAAAGTAAAAAATACTATTCCAATGAAGAAACTGAAAACCAAAGATTTGGAAGAGGTCAGAAACAGTTTATGGTAATACTCAGTTAATTCACGGACTGAAAGGAATTATGAAGACAAAAATTATTGTTACGTGTACAAGCTTGATATAGATTGTATAACTGGTGATATAAACAAAATTTTACAAAAACATATAATTTCAAGGAAGTTGACATGGCACAAATGAAATCAAAGTACCCAGAAGAAGATTTTCAGAAATTCACCTATCTGATCTAGACAAACATGATTTTTTTTTTCAAAAAATTAACTCCATAGACAACAACACCTGCCAGGGCAATATATAGTGGTAATGCAAAAAGCAATGGTAACATATTACTTAAAAATTTTATAATAAATAATGTAGTGATATAGTACCTACTGCATATAAATAAACTACTAAACGGTTACAAACAAACTAGAAGTTTTTCACAATGCCTGTGTGAAAATTTTGACATGATTACATAATTCGAAGATGCTTGTGAACTTTTTCTTTCATCGTACACTGTTTTATTTCAATAAAAAACCCAATTAACTCTTTCTAAAATGGATCTGAGTTAAAGACTTTTTGGCTTGCGTTAATCTAATGAAAAAGAAAGATTAATTTCTCATAGTAGTCCCCCATTACATATTTTTGTGATTTGTACTCTTTCTCAAATAGATTCCTACAATGTTATTATAGTTGATAGAAAACACTCAAAGACCTAAGTTGTACAGCTCTTTGAGTAGGAGGAATTAAAATTATTTTTAACTACACAGAGTATTCTGTTTTTGACGAACAACATAGACACAACTTCGTTTTTTACTTCCCGAGCGTAAGTATTGTAATCGAATCTGTCGGACGACTCTCTACTTTTACGTTTTCTCAATCTTTCATGACCCCTAGAATACGAATAGCTTTCCCGTTTCCGTATGTCTGTCTGTCCGTCCGTCTCTCTGTCTGTTCGTCTCTCTGCCTGTTCGCCTGCTCATCTGTCCGCCGTCCCGGATTTTTATTAGATAGATAATCTCAGAAAGTACTGAGCACATTGTTGTCAAATTTTGTATCATAAAAATAAACTGTTAATTGTTTTTCACTATATGTATTTAAATCAATACTTGAGTATCGTTCACTGATTTAGTTTGCTAGAATGTATTTATAAATGATCCTGGTATTAAGGCAGATCCTAGAATGTCTTTTGTTAATTATTTTTCCATCTTATTAGGACAGTGAAGCACATTTGAATGACAATTCGAAGCCGCTGCTAGTTGTTTATTTTTGTATACTTAACAATTTTTAATTGTTCCAACGAATAGAAATTTTATTCTAAGAAATGAAAAGAAAGATACATAATTCAAAATTATACTAATTTATTTTGACTCTTGTGGTCAAAAAAGTCTAGAAGAAGTCAAAAAATATCAACTTATTTAGAAACAAAGTCATAAAAAAACATGTGTGGTCATTTCTCTAATTTTTTAAAGTTGACGTGTGATAAACCCACATCTGACTTTACAATCGATATATGTATTAATAAAATCAATGTTGTTTTACAAGTTATCTGGAACACCTTGTTTTTGTGATATTGTTTGTTCTTCACGAGATAATTTTTAACAACTCAAATTCTTCTTTATTCAAGAATAATTTTAAAAACTTGATTATTTATTTTAAATTGAGTTGTAGATAATAGTCTCTTTTAAATTTGGGGATATAAACTTTTCCATGTAAAGAAAAAAAATCACACATAAAAACTTTTACTTTATTAAATTAAATTAATTTCTTTAAACCCCATTAATACAATAACTTAATTTTACATTGTAGAGCTACTAAATTAAATCAAAAATATATATCTGTTAAATAGTGGAGTGCCGTAAGACATAAAAATGTGAAAACCTCGGAACCCGGTTCCACTGAATGGATTTTCGTGAAACTTTTTCGATTGCATTGTTAAAAGGCTAAATGAAAAAGTTTACCCATCAAAATTTGCCGATCTCTATTACAACAATTTATAACAACAATTAATTGAAGAATGAGAAAAATATGAAGAAAAAAAATTTTGTATTAAAGATTTCAATTTTATATACAATAAATGATATTTGTATAGTAACTTTAACATTAATGTATAATTTTTTAGCTAAAAATAACAAATTTACAAAAAAAAAATGATAATAAGGCAAGTTGCTCAAAATCGTATTCATATCGGACCAAAGATACAAAAAATAGGTAAAACATACTGCATTAATAAAAAAAGACGAGATTTTTAGAAAAAAATAAATGTTTATTATTTCATTTTATAAAAAGTGAAAAATTTTGAGTCAATTATCTACATTATCATTGTCATCCATCTTCATTAATTTTGATGATAGGTGATGTATTAGTATAACGGTTGCCATTGCATTTTAAGCAAGCTACAGTGCAATTCAATCCACTCTTCCTGCACCCACAAGATGTTATACATCCTGTTTTGCATCTGTAAAAAATAATTTTCAATAAGGTCTGTGGAGCTGATAGCTACGTCATTGTTTCTGGTATCAGTATTTTGCTTTCATATTTCCAACCCGATTCTTCTGGTAATATTTCTCTCAAAAGCGGCATCTGCAGTAGGTGCCAAAGACGGTAATTTAACGCAACTATTTTTAGCGGTTGCGTTTGCAAAAGAGTTATACCTTAAAGTATTTAGATCTTTTATTTTTGAGAGGCAGCGTATAAAGCGAGGGTGCATATAATATCAGCGTTAAAAATGTCATTGGCGTCTTTGCATTCATTTTCTAAAACTGCTACAGCATTTTGTAAGTCCGGTCGTTTCTCTAAATTTTTTGCAAAGACAATTTTTCCTGTTGCGAAAAAGCGGGCGTCGTGTCACAGCTAGTGAAAGAATCTAAAAAAGGGATATGCTGTTTACACTTTGGTAATACTGTTTCCAAGCTTTTAGATGAGTATATTTTTTGTGGTGTTTGCCTTTTGTTAGTTTTTGAAAATAAAATTTCTTGATTTGTTGGTGAAAGCGCAGTCAGTAAAACTAATACATCCACATCCTCAGAAACTACACCGTTTTCGGATTGCAAATTAATGGCGGTTTCACTTATTAATCGGTCGGCATCGGTTTCCGCTTGACAAAAAAATATTTTATTTTCCGCAAGTGTGTTTAGTAGCATATTATCTATGAGGCTACTCTTATTTTTGGCGTTCGCTAAAAATGTTTCTCAACCTATTTTAGAGACGTGTTTTTATGGAATATGATGTCATTATGTACATCCTTTTTTTTAGAGCGACGAGATTAGTTCTTTCCACTGATTTTGTGGTGTTTTTTTGGTAACCATCAAATACTTACTACATAAATGTTGCGTCCATAATTGTTATGTAAATATCTTACGTAGTGTTCACAAATAGTGCCAAAATTTTCATCCAGTTGCCACTTGCAACGGTGTATTAACATCTCTCCATCAATTACGTATGAACATTTTTGTACTACAAATTTTTTTGTTTTGCGTATTTCGCCATCTTCAAAAAGAGCAAGAGAATAAGGAGCTAATTCCAAAGTCATGTAGATTTTAAGTTCTTTATCTGATTTTTTTAAAACGCAAATACGTTGAAATAACAGTAGTGGCTCAATTGAAATGATATTATCATCCACTGTTATTTTGCTTGAGAAAACCAATAGAGAAATAATTTTATTATATTATAATGAAAATAATCAAAAAGAGAAAACTTTTTTTCGAAATGCACAATAACAGTTACGTGTTTAGCCTAGCTAGTTGCAACGTATAGGTACTATTATGTTGCGCCCGCCATCAAACTTATGTTGTTGTCCCTTCTATGTATAATCCCTTCTTCTTATCACCTTTTATCTGAGGCCCCAAGGACAGTTTTGTACTAGTTATCCTATGAAAAATCTAACTTTGAGAGCAAAAAATTTCGAGTTTTTAATAGAAAATGAATGAAAACTCCGAAAAAATTATTATTATTTATTTTAATAATTAAAAAATTGAGATCGGCAAAAATAAATGGGTAAACATATTAGTATTTAGTGTTAAAAACACATTCCAAAAGGTTTTACAAAAATCCATTCAGTGGAACCGGGTTCCGAGGTATAAACCTTACGGCACTCCACTAAAACTATATATAAGTATTTACAATTTAATGCAATATAAATCCATTTCCATCTCTCTAATCGACGACCATGCGAGGCTCATCTACGGCCGCTTTAAAATCCTGAACTAGACATGAACAATCCATTGGACTGTAGTCAACTATTGCATACGATTTATCTTGAGTATAGTAGGTACTTTTGCACCACATTCATTCCGATGTTTTGGTAGAAATACCGATTTTCGTTGAAAAAAAAAAATGCATAGAAAATAGGAAACTGATAAATGACTAAGAAAACTAGACATAATAATTTGAGTTAAAAAGTTACACATATTAGATTACTAATTATGTCAGCTGTGATAGAGGAAAGTTGCCTAATCTGAACCTCGTCCTAATTTGGACTGAGATCATTTACTTATTTTCAAACTGACTGATAGTCACGAATTATATCTGTGGTTTTTAAAAATAACTAAGAATAATTCTAGTTGTTTCTTCCTTTAAAAAAGTGCACTTATGACAGACTGACTGATTAAAGTTTGACGAAAAATACAGTGTGTTATTGAAAGGTACGTAAAAAATAAAATCGGCAAATGATCTAGAAGTATGAGTGCTAAAATTAAAAAAAAGTTCAGGTAAAAGTGTTCTCCTTTTAGAGATAAAAATTATTAAAATTTATGTCCAAATTCGTTGTACGCCTCTGATAAAAAGGTCATCTTTCGTTTCTATAGAAACAAAAGGGTCTCTTATTTTTTTATTATTGTCACAGTTACTAGGATTTACTAAAATAAATTAATTTTACCTATTTATCCTTCAGTAGCGTCTAAAAAGGTTGGATAGTGGTTAATTTTCCCTTTATAATTTTGATAACACAAAATACGTTTTTCAGGCTTCTTAGACTTCTGGAAGAACTGTCAATTTTGTTGTACGTACCTTTCAATAACACCCTGTATAGTGCGGTTATCGCTTAAGTTCTCCTCAACTTCAGTAATTTTCACGAGTTCGTCATAATGGAGACAGTAAATCCACTTGCCTGACCAAGACC